AGATGGTTGTGTGTGTGTGTGTGTGTGTGTGTGTGTGTGTGTGTGTGTGAATACACGTGTGCTAGTACAGACACCCACACCAAGCACCCTGGGAAGGAGGGATATCACTGGCAGATATCTGGAGGCGGGGCCAAGAACACATTCTGACAGGAAAAGCTGGAATTCAGTATGTGAAGCAGACGTAGCAAGAGACAGGAACTGTGAGGTCTTCAGATGGGCCACCCTGAACCTCTTGGTCATCACCACCAAGGCTAAGGAAAATGTTGGAGGGCAAGCAGAGGCTGGCTCAGCCACAGCGAAGTTAAAAAATCACTCTGGCTTCATTGTGGGGCTGTAAAGGCACAAGAAGAACAATGGGAAGACTATGGCTGGCATCCCAGTGGCTTCAGCATAGATGGTAGTGGCCAGGGATGCTAAGAAGAAGTTGAAGTGAAAACTAAAAAAGGACAAGACAGCAAAGGTGGGAGTGGGTGATGTAGAGGGTGAGGAGCGAAGGCACTCTGGATGTAAGGGCAGGCCTAGACAACGTCAGCAGCTACCAAGGATGAGAGCCTTCCAGAACTTTCCTCCCCTCCCCATCCTGTTCATCCACATCAGAGATGCCAGGGATACTGCATGTCCTGCCCCAGTCAGGAGCATTAACCATTAGTTATAGGAGGAAATTGCATGTACACAAGTGGGAAACACCAGGCGGGAGTTGGGGGGCCCTGGCTGCGCAGGTGAAGAGGCAGGAGCTCAAAGAGGAAAGAACTGAAGGGGAGGGATGCGCCCAGTGAAATGGAGATTTGCTTTTCATAAAAATGCAAGTGAAGGAGAATGTTGCCCCGGAGGAGTAGCTGGAGCAGAAGAACAGGATCCTAAGGATCCTAAGTCTTCATTCTGGAGGCAGGTCCCTCAGTGGATGGTAATTTTTCTTCTTGAAGGCGAAGTGTTTGCAGTCCCTGCTCCAAGAACTTGAGCCCCACGTCCCATTTCTCCCAGACTTTGGCTTGCGTTGAATGGGAGATGCTGCAATCCTTTCTGCGGGAGACCAGACCAAGTTGCACTCTTGGCTACGCTCCTTGGCCCTGGCTCCGGGCTTGGGGAGAAGAGGAGAGGACTGCAGGATTGATGGAGTAGTGGACACACAGGGGACAAGGCAGGAGGAATAAACAGCTCTTCCCAAAGGACCCTGGAAGAAAGGATGGGAAGGGGAGTGCTGGCTAAACAGCTAATCCCCTGCCTCTGCTTTCTCACTCAGTGTCCTCAGGCCTGAGGTTTGGGCTCTAGTCTGACTCCACGGGAGGGGCAGGGAGGGGAGGTGCTAATGAAGCCCCATAATTCCAAGCTCTGCTGAGATTAAACGCTGGCCACCAATTTGGATGACACAAGCCCCTTGCTGACTGCAGCTACGCCTGCCTCAGCCCACACAAGCAGAACTACTCCCACTTGTTTCTCCAGATTGTTCACATTCAGCTCTAATGTCCAAGGAACAAGACCCAGGGAGCTGGTGTGGACGGATTAGCTGGCCAGCCCCAGTGCTCAGCATTGCCTTCTCCCTGCCATGAGTAGCAATAGAGTCTACAAAGAATCAAGCTAGATGTCCTCCTCCGTCCCTATTTTCAAAAGATGCTTAAAGAAATCTCTTCTTCAATCTTTAAACCTCTCCACCCAATCACCAGGAAGGCCACAAGGTCAAAAGCTGCCTTTTTGTCATACCCCACCACTGCCTGAGCAGTGCTGAGCACCAAGAATAACTTCCTGCTGGGGGTGAGGGTAGGTAAAAAAAGATTTAATTATAGTTTCTGTTTCTGACCTGTTTCCCTACCCCCAGGAGCCTCCATGTTGCCCTGCAGGGCTGCGGTGTCAATAAGAGGAGACTGGCCAGGTGCCACCCAGAGACAGCCTTAGGGCTGGAGGCTGGTCTCCACAGCCAAACTCACTCATCTTCACAGAAATCCCTGAGCAAGCTCTGTAGTACCAGAAAATTCGGTCTAAAGCTATCTTCTCAAGACAGGATGGAAGAAACTTCTAGGTATTTGGAAGAGAGGGTAATTTCCCTCTCCCAGATGTTTCTAAGCCAGGAACTCCAATTTCCAATCTCACGCTTTATTCCCACCACCCCTCCACCACATATTTGCTGCTCTGTGTCTGGCCAGGATTGTGTCACATTCACTGCTTCTTCACCCCCAACTCTCAACAGCATATGGTGTGTCCTTCACTGTGGACAGACCTAGGCACACAACTTCTAGGTCTGTGGACAGACCTAGGCACACAACTTCTGGGGGTTCCCCACCATTCTGACCCACCACTCTCACCTCCAACTTCCAAATATAAATGGTAAAACCCCAGTACTTGCCAAATAAATATTTTGTAGGTCTGTCTCTGCATACCACTAGCCCTTAGCTGTCCTCTTTAAAATGCTGATAAACAGGCAAGGAGAACCTTTCTTCATACAAAACACCTTAAACTCCTCAGAGACCCCTTAAATTGGTTATCAGATGTTTCTGAACAACTGTGGAGCTATGGAAAAACTATCTTTCTGATTTGGGACCTCATCCACCAGGGATTCCGTTAACTGCTTTTGTAGTCCAAGAATTTGAGTTAGGAATCCCTCCAAGAGGTAGAAGGGGTGATTAAAATGGAGACAAGAATAAAAGCTTTTAGACATGGTTCATCTATGCCAAGAACAGCTTCAAGAGGCTTACAAGTGCTCACAGGACCATCAAAGGATGCCAAAGTCGATACCTGTATTTGTTGATTCGTTGAAATACTCCATTTCAGGGTTCTTGCCATTGAAAACATCTCCTCTGTCTGGAATCTCCTCTACACCAAATGCACAATTGCTTCATTCATCTCTTCAGAGAAATCTGTCACCAAATCCATAAGCTGCCTCTGCCGGCAGGCAGGGCAGAGTAACAACAAGCCCGGCCTTCGCCCTCTGGGATGAGTCAAGGACGGGGTTCCTGTGTTAATGAAGCCCCAGATATCTCTCCTACCCTTCAGACAGTCTCTCCTCTCTCCTGCAACCTTGTCCCCTGTCCCCTTCCCCCTCAAAAAGAATCAAAGCGGGCTGGGGATGTGGCTCAAGCGGTAGCGCGCTCGCTTGGCATGCGTGCGGCCCGGGTTCGATCCTCAGCACCACATACAAACAAAGATGTTGTGTCCACCGATAACTAAAAAATAAAAAATATTTAAAAAAAAAAAAAAAGAATCAAAGCGAGGGAAGACAGATGGAGGCAAGATTTCCCACCTCAACCAATGTGGGGAGATTCACATAAGCATACCACATGCTCCCATACCCAAAAGGAGGAAATCTAATCTTATGGCATGACTTCTACATGCATTTGATCTTTATAACCACCCAGTGAGGTAGGTTGTTCACGGAAGAAAAAACTGAACAGGGTCACAGTGATAAGAGCAAGACTTGAGTTCACCAGCTGATGGCAAGATGTGAGCAAACCACCAAGATTCTGGATTTGGGGTCACCTGTTTCTGTACTGGAAGCAGCAACAGTATCTCCCTTACCCACCTCTGGAGATGTGGGGATGAAGGTCAAGTGTAAATCTAAGTGGTAAGCGCAGTCTAATGTACAGATGTGAATGGGCTGTGAGCTCTGGAGGACAGGCTATCTTTTACTTGGTTGTTATATGCTAGGCACCCAAACCCTTTATTGATGCTGGAGTGGAATAAAGTGGTGCCCACACCACGTCCTGTATAAACCAGCAAGACCTTTCAGATGGCCCAGGGGGAAGGGTCAGGAGAAGTGGTGGAGAAGTAAGGTATCCTGTGGCAGCCCCCACAGCCACAGATCTGGGAGTAAGAAAAAGATAAGGGGACCCCCAAGCCTACTCAACCAGATCAGCCAAACCCATTGCCATCTGCTCAGAAGAGCCTTGGAACTCTCTCTCAAGAAGTAAGACTTGAACCTACACCCAAAGCACAGCACACTTTAAAGGGACAGTGGAACCCAAGCCTTGTAGTGGGGGTGAGGCAGAGGAGTGGATGCCTGCCTGGTGCCAGCCTCAAAGAAACCCCTCGGCTCCTGACGGAAATGGCAGAGGAGACTTGACAGCTGGGATGGCTAAGAGTTAAAAGCAGACAGTGCTCTGGGCAGGCTTCAGTCAGGGACAGAGTCAGAGGTATAGCAGAGAATCCCAGAGGATCAGATCCTTCTCATAGCAAGGACAGCTCCTCTGTCTTCTGTCCTGACAAACACTGCCACCCCTTCCTCAGGGAAGCCTCCCCTGAGGCTTTGAATCCCCAGGCAACTTACTTACCTATTCTCTGACACTAACTGCATTCAACCTTTCCTAGAAGAATCTTTGCATTCCTATTTCCAAGTCCCTCTCAGAAGCTACCACAGTGTCCAGTGCCTGGTGTATGCCTGACAGGTAGACACACGTTGAAGAAACAAAGGCAGGTGAAGCAAGAAAAGGTACAAGGGGACCAAGGGAGATCAGAAAGGCCCTGCTGCTCACCAGGACTTGTGAGCCAATCCCCCTTGCCCTGCACATTCCCCACCAACCCTGTGCCCCAACATGGCCCTTGGGGGTACCATACACATCTGGGGGGCAGGCAGTGGGCAGCGTTTCAAACAGGAAGGAGGCCTCTTCCTAAGCCATTTACATGCCTGAGCTGGCCGGCCATCCCCACCCAGGCAGGAAGCAATCCTGCCAGATCCCATCTGCAGAACCACAATCGAGCCTCACTCTCTCGAGTGATTTGTGTGTCAAAAACACGCCAAGGCTGTAAATCAGGTGGTAGGAAGCTCTGTCTCCTGTTTTCCTGCTCAACCAGACGGAGACAGAATGTACTGCCACCGGCTCTCAAATCTGGAAAACCAAGTCTGATTTAAGATGAGATTTTTAACAGGCATTAACATGGGGCAGTTCTGGGGAGCAGGGCTCCTGGCTACCCCTCCCTGGCTCTTAAGTAGAGAGAAACAGTTACCTCCTCCCCAGCTGGGGGCTTAGTGGGTGGGGGACCTGAAAGCCAGGTGCCTAACAAGCCCTGGTGTTCAATAGCAGCTGCTTAGAGCTGCTACCCAGGAGGCTCCGGAGGGGAATTTTCCACTGCCCAGTTTGATTTAGCTCAGGATTTAGCTCACGCCTGCGCTGCTGCCTTGACTGTAAACAGTGCAGCCAGCAGGAAGGTGGGGGAGCCCTCCAAGGGGGCTGCAGCCAGGCTGGAGCAGGGGCGAAGGTGTGGGCAGGGTGGGCTTGAGGTGCAGGTTTTGACGGCGCCCTGGGTCTACCTCAGCAGCCTGCACCTGGAAGGCTGAGGTGATTTGGAGGTGCTGGGGGTGGACAGGACACTTTTTGCATAGGGAGAAGAGTCCCAAGGCCCTGGTTGGAGGAGGTAGGGGACAGAAGCCAAGGAGTCGCCTCCCTCCCCCTGTTGCTCTCTTTCTCAGGACGTCTAAGAGGTGCCCCGCGTGGGTGAGTGCTCCCTCCCTCCCCGGCGCTGCACCTCCCCCTCCCCGGAACTGCCACCCCCTCAGCCTTGAGCTGTTGATGCCCTCTGGGTTCTGTTTTCATTCCAGGCTGTGGATCCGGTCGTGGGAAGCAGGTAGGAAGCCATGATTCTGGGGGTTAAACGAAAAAAATATATTTAGTGCTCACAGAAAACCAAATATTGGGTTAGGAGCCAGGAATGGAGAGGGAAAAAACCCAAAGCAAACAGCAGACGAAAGAAATTCCTACCAAACAAGGTCCCTATTCATTCTTCCAATCCCAGGTGCAGGAGCCTGCAGGGAAAGACTGGCTGAATGCAAGACTTTGATGAGACCCCAAGCTCAGATCTTACAAGGTCCATGGGACCAAGGGGCTCTCAGCACCCTCCCCAAAACGTTGTCAATATCTGGATTGATGGTAAGCACCCTAGAGTTCACTAAGGTGGCTCTGAAGCCCTTTGGGAGCCAGGGATGGGGGTGGGGAGGGAGGACAAAAGAAAGTATTCCTGGCTTGACCTTGAATAAGTGCCTTGACCTCCCTGGGCCTCTTCTATGGAATGTAGGGGTTGGATCATGGTTTCACAGGTCACAACATCTTATTATTCCGTTCCTGCCCCAAATTAGCAATAATGTGAGCAAGATCATTACAATAGTGATCATCTGTTTCCCAAGGAGTATAGGGTGAAGCTGAAAGAGATACAGTGTGAAGATGAAAGAGATTCGGCTTTCTGTGTGTTGACTCTCCCTGGAGTAAACTTCTACGGTCTAAGTTGACTCCTCTGGAGACCCCAGACTCCAGTGAGGTGATTCTGGAACCTGCTTAGATTGCTACTTAGACATCAGCCTGACCAGAGGATTGCAACACTCAGCCCGACCAGTGAGCAACATGATGAGGGTTCCATGATCAGGAGAGGCTTAGGGGTAGGTAGAAAAAAAGAAGAATCAGAAGAAGGGTCTTCATAGACCTCCTGGACACCTCCTGTGGAATCACAGATAAGGCAAAATGTGTCCTCCTGACCCCAGGTTTCCAAGATGCATTTGTATCAAATCACTGAAGTATCTACAGAAGGCCAGGGTCCCAGGTTTCAAAGGACCTTAAGAAGCAGAAGTTGGTGGGGACTGAATTCTAACCAATCAAAAGAAAGGAAAGGCTGGAATTCCTCTCCCTTGCACCTGCCCTTCTCTGGGAAGCACTTGACTCACTGCTTCTTCCCCTAGTTTTCTCAAAAGGGCCCAAATGGAATCTGGGCATCCCCTGTACCTTGTGGACAGGAAAGGTCAACCTGAAGACCATCATTTCCTTTATGTTGATGAATGCCCACTCCAAAGAGCCCCAGCCTAAACATGACCATGTCTGCTAGTTAATTCCCTACCCAACCAGGGACTCAACACAAATGTATTTGTCAATTGAGTCAGAAGACCAGAACCTTGGGAGAGGACATGCAGAGATAGCCACAAATAAAACAAATTCCCACTGGGCCCGGTGGCACACACCTGTAATCCCAGTGGGTTTGGGAGGCTGAGGCAGGAGGATCGCAAGTTCAAAGCCAGCCTCAGCAAAAGCAAGGTGCTAAGCAACCTAGTCAGACCCTGTCTCTAAATAAAATACAAAACAGGGCTGAGGAATGTGGTTGAGTGCCCTTGAGTTCAATCCCCGGGACCCCAAAACAATTTTTTAAAACTTTTTTAAATAAATAAAATATATTCCCACAAACCTGCTCCTTTCCTAGCACTCCTTTAAGCTCTATAAGTTATACCACTTTCCACCAATTTTCCAGAAACTAAAAAATCATCTTTGACATCCATCCAATCAGACACCTCCTATTTATCACCCAAACTCATTCTTGCAATCTTACCACCCCACTGTGACTGCCCTCATGGGCCCTTGGTATGCCTCACCCAGATTACAGAAACTCCCTCCCAGCAAGTAACTCTGAGCAGTCTTCTTCATTCCAGTCTCTCTGGATTAGCTGGGGAAACACACACACACACACACACACACACATATATGTGTATATCTGTGTGTGTGTGTCTTAAGTCACCTCAGTTACCTGCATTTTTTGTTGTCTGCTATTTCAAGACAAAATTTTGAATTCACTAGGAAACATACAAATGCTTTTTTCACCCACTGAACACAGCCTATCTGCTACCATTTCCCTGGTCTCCAGTCATAGCTACTGACATCCCATAAACAGATCCTGCTGGACTTCTAATCAAGATGGAGTGGTGAGTTCTCTGTTCTAACCAGTGATGAATAAAACATTCTAATATATAACCCAACACACAGAGTTGGGCTCAGAAACAAGGTGAACTTTCTGTGAGCCAGAAGCAGAACAGAGCCCAAAATCACTGCGTGGGAAACGTGACGGAGGTGCTGCTGGGCTCTGGGTCCCAAAGGATTGTTAAAAAAGGCAGGAGCACAGTTACCTTTGAAAGGACCGGAAGGAACACTAGGGGCCTTCTAGAGGTCAGTAGTATGCTTTTCTTGCTCTGGGTTTGATGTAGGATAGAAGGAATTTATAAATAGATAGAAAAGAGACATAAAGGAAGGACAAGGAAATAAGATTTTAGTTTAGAAGTTTCACATACTTTTCCAGGCATGTCACTCACTAAGGCAGTCTTCCTTCCAGGCCTGTTACTCCCAAATTCCTGGAAAACCTGTAAGTCTACCTGTGCACTGTTAATTAGCCCTTCCCCCAAAAAAATACACCAACAAAGAGATAAGCTATCTTGAGGAACCTATAATTTAGGGGACTTTGCAGCAGTCCCTATTGATCAGATAATGAAGACCATCGCAGCCTGAGGATCCTGAGAATGAACAGACCACCAGGACCCACCTTGAGATCACCAGACTGATATCATTTCTACTTACCTTTCCATACCTACTCTTCAACAAGTTTCCTTTCAAAGAAATCCCAGGAACCCTTAAAATATGTTTCTCACTCTCCCTTCAATGTGTATTCCTTGTTTTACCCCAACGGCATCCCTCTCTTGAGATTGCCCTCATTCTCCCTTGAATATGTACCTGCTTTCCTAAATCAACCTCTGTCTATGCCTCCAACTGGTGGGTGCTGAAATTATTTCTCATCACATACGTCAAGAACCTCACTGTTGCTGGATGCAGTGGCACATGCCTGTAATCCCAGTGGCTCGGGAGGCTGAGAAAGGAAGATCTCAAGTTCAAAGCCAGCGTCAGCAAAAGCAAGGGGCTAAGCAACACAGTGAGACCCTGTCTCTAAATAAAACACAAAATAGAGCTGGGGATGTGGCTCAGTGGTCAAGTGCCCCTGAGTTCAATCCCCAGTACCAAAAAATAAAAGAAGAACCTCACTGTTCCTGAGTAGAGCTCCCTCTTCTATCCAGGAACTCCTTGATCTTCTTTGGAGACTTATTTTCTGTGTCAGGTTGGTAGATGCCCACTCCAAAGAGCCCCAGCTCCTTTTCATTCCACCAGAGCATTTACTTTGCGAAAATTTACTGGGGGCTGGAATTCTCAGCACCACATATAAATAAATAAATAAAATGAAACAACTAAAAATATATATATTAAAAAACTCATCTAGGTATTCATTTATGGCCTGTGTACTTTTCTGCATGTTCATTGTACTTCAATAGAAAGATTTATTATTTAAAAAAAAAATTCTCTGGGAGACAGGAGACCAGAGGAAGATCCTGCTTCAGGATGATGCAGACCAGCATAGGGCAAGGTAAGAGGGGCAGAGGGCACCCAGCCTCACAATGAGAAGCAAGCCAAGCCACACACTGTCTCCACATCTGGATTGGCATTATTCTGGCAAGGAGAAAGAGCCGTGAAATGACACATAAGACTTTGTTCTGGAATAGGGTGGGAGTGGAAGATGGAGTGGAACCAACCACAAAGCTCTCAACTGCACACTGAGGAAGACGAAGGGAAAAATAAAAGACAAAAATAAAACAAATCAGAGGGAGGAGACTGCCTTTCAAAATGGATCTGCAAAGCGAAGTTCCAAAATACATTTCAACAATGAAGAAATTTAAGCCTTCTTCATTAGAAAGATGGTAAAATCAGTAAACCACATGGACACAAAGGTGTTCGAGTGCATTTGCATCTACGTTACTCAAAGACATTGAACATACAATATCTATTGAAAGCAAGAAAAAAATATTAGATGAAAAACAATAGAAATGCAGATGGGAAAAGAAGGACCAGTGAGAAGTCTTAAGAATTTTTTAAGCATTGATATTCAGGGTAAACTCTAGGCCAAGTATAGTCAAAGCAAAAAAAAAAAAAAAAAGCGAATTGGAAGATAGTAAGGAAAATTTCATGAAAAATATTGTACAAAGAAGCCAGAAGGGGAAACGTGAAAGCTAAGTTATCAAATGGATTAAGAGACTCTAGCCTTAAAAAAAAACAGAGAGAATGAAGACAATGTCCATGTGTTTTGTTTTTGATAATTTTCCGTTTGTTTCTATCAGTATTCTTACTATGGCCTTCTAAATTCTTCTTTGTAGGGAGATTTAGAAGGCAGACTGGAGACCAGAGTCCTCACCTTCCTCCAGAGGAGGCAGCAGGTGTCTTGGTCGTACAGTTTATAGAGTCCAGCTAGATTCCATTTGCTAATAGTCATCAACCCCAAGCCTGCAAAGCAAGTGTGGTATCAGCAGAGATTTCCTATAGCTCCCTGACATCTGGAGGGTGACAGCAACTTCCTGGTTCTCTGGGCCACAGCTACAGTAGTGAATATGAAGGCTATGCCTCCTAGGACTGGGGATAGAGCTCAGTTGGTAGAGTGCCTGCTCACATGCACAAGACCCTGAGTTCAATCTCCAGCACCACAAAAAAGAAAGAAAATTAGTTAGTTATACCTCCTGGTTTTCCTTTCAGTGTTTTTATTAGCATCTGCTCTAGTTTGAATGTGTCACCCCAAAATTCATGTATTGGGAACTTAATTTCCAAAGTCATATGTTAATGGCATTTGAGAGGTTATTAGGATTAGATGAGGTCATTGAGGGATCTCCATGTTGGCATTAGTGCCTTTATAAGAACAGGAAGAGAGACCTCGGCTGGCACACTGATTCCATCTCACCCTGTGAAGCCCTATACCATGATGCAGTAAGGTCTACATCAGGTGCTAGCAGCATGCTCTGAAACTTTCCAACTTCCAGACTGAGAACTAAAAACCCTTTATTCTTTATAAACTACCCTGCCTCAGGTATTTTGTTATAGCAATATCAAATATAAGAACAGTACCTAATTTCCTATTTTTAATCCTTTCTATTTGAAATACCTAGGGTGGTTTTTTTATTTTATTTGTGTGTGTGTGTGTTTGTGTGTGTTCTTGACTTATAAAAGTATAATGGCTGTATTTGAAAATACAATACTTTACAAAGTAAACCTAAAAAAATAAAGAGTTGTAAAATAGAAGACAGACAATCAGAAAATTAGAGAACAATTAAATCTGGGAGGCCCAACATTAAATAATAGGAGTTCTAGAAATAGAACTCAGGAGAAACTGAGAAAAGGAACTCACCGAAGAAATAATTCAAGAACTTGCTCCCAGAATCAAAGGTCTCAAGTTTGCAAATTGAAAGAGCTACCTTTTACATAGCACAAAGGATGAAAATAAATCCATGCTACTATAGTATGGATCTTGAATGTGCCCCAAAGTCTCATGTGTTAAAGGCTTGGTTGCCAGACTATACCACTACTTAGAGGTGGTGGGACCTTAAGGAGGTGGGGCCAAATGGAAGAAAGTTAGATCACTGGAGGCATGCCCCTTCAAGGGCATGTTGAGACCCTAAACCTGTACTGTCACTCTCACTCCCTGGCCATCATGAGCTAAACGGTCCTCCTCCACCATGCACTCTTGCCAAGATGTACAGTGTCACTACAGGCCTAAAGCAACAGGGCCAAGCAACCATGGACCTCTAACACTGCAAGCCAAAATAAACCGTTTCTCCTTTTAAGTTGATCATCTCAGGAATCTTGTCATAGTGACAGAGAGTTGACTAATACACATGCTCAGGCACATCATAATGAAATACTAGAACATTAGGGATTTAAAAAAAATCCTACAAGTTTCCAGAGGGGGGGAAACATACTCATTATCAAGAATCAGAACACACTTAGATTTCTCATAAAGCAAAAATGGAATCTAGAAAATAGTGAAGTAGTGCCCCCAACATACTAAAGAAAAAATATTTCTAATATGAAATTCCACACTCAGCCAAAGTAGCAATCACATGTAAGACTAGAGAAAAAAAAAAAAAACATTTTTACATATATGAAGAATTTCTAAATGTATCTTCCAAATACTCTCGGGAAGCTACTAGAGGATGCATTATATCAAAAATAAGGAAGCAAACCAAGAGGAAGCCATGAAATACATAAAACCAAACCCAAAAAGAGATGAGAGAGATGCCGTGATAATAGCTGTGTGAAAATATAAACGGCAACCAATTCAGGTTCGAGCAGATCAGAATATTCCAGGAAAGATTTCTGAAGGAAGATGAAATAAATAGACTACTTAATTTTGGGATCTACTGAGAATATTTATATAACTTGGACTGAATCAGTAATAAATACATAGAAAACTAAGCAAATGAAAAAGGAAGGCAATCATGAACTCCAGGGAAAATAAAAGTAAAAAAAAAAAAAACTGTTAGTATATAACATAGCTTAGTTGTGACTAGTGTTTTAGTAGTTGTACTAATATACATATTTAATATATGCTAATCAAAATATGGTATTGGCTCAGCCATAAAAACGAATGACTTTATGAGTTTTGCCAGTAACTGGATGGATCTGAAGACTATCATGCTAAGCGAAATAAGCCAATCCCACAAAAACCAAAGACAGATGCTTTCTCTGATATGTGGTTGCTAACATATAGTAAGTGCGGGGTGGGGGAATAGAAATTCAGTGGATTAGACAAAGTGGAGTAAAGAGAAGGGAGCAGGGATGGGAATAGAAAAGACAATAGAATGAATCAGACATAACTTTCCTGTGTTCATAAGTAAATATACCATCAGTGAAACTCCACATCATGTGCAACCAAAAGGATGGGATCCTAATTAGAATAAGTTATACTGTATGTATGCCTAAAATGTCAAAATACACTTTACTGTCACATAAATCTAAAAAGAACACAAAAATTAATAACACCTTTAAATTTGTGTATGAAAAAAAATAAATGGTAGTGGGAGGATTGAGGTACAAAAGAATGCCCAGGTTGTAGAGAAGGAATGGAAAGAATTAAAGTCTTGTCATCCATAGAAGTCTGTAAGAAATAGCTATAGCAGAAAAATAAAGAAGCAGGAATATAAGCACATTATTTAGAGATATAGAGGTGAACACCAAAAGAATCAATTAAGACGAGAATATTATGCTAAGCAAAATAAGTCAATTCCAAAGTACCAACGGCTGAATGTTTTCTCTGATATGCAGATGCTAATTCACAATAAGGGGTGGGGGGAGAATAGTGATATTTTGGACCAAACAGAGGGGAGTGAAGGGAGGAGGGGGTATGGGGGGTAGGAATGATAGTAGAATGAATTGGACATTATTACCCAATGTGCATATAGGATTACACAACCTGTACAACCATTTATTATATTATGTGTCAACATGCATTCTACTGTCACATATAACTAATTAGAACAAATAAAAATATAAAAGAATCAGTTAAGAATTAAAAAATAGGGCTGGGGTAGTAGCTCAATGGTAGAGCACTTGCCTAGCATATGAGAGGCACTAGAATTGTCTCAGCACCACATATAAATAAAATAAAGTTCTATCAACAACTTAAAAAGAGTTGAAAAGTGTTGCTTATGAAGAAAGGGAAACAAGAGGCAGGGAGTATGGCCCAGATATTTTAAAAATAAGTCTAAATTTTAATCATTTAATATGTGTGTGTGTGTGTATGTGTATATATATGATTTCAAATAGAAATAAATCAAAAGTTAATGACCCCATATTTTATACAACCAAAACGCACAAATAAAAGAAAATTTAAGTTAATGAAACAACAACAACAACAAAATAGAAAGAATAAATGAAAAATGTTGGTCTTTAGGGGGAAAGTGAATAAACCAGGCAAATCTCTAGCAAACCTGACCAAGGGTAGTACACACTAACAATATTAGGAATTAAAATAATACAGTCTCTACTTATCACAGATTCTAAAACACTGTGAACAACTTTATAGATTTGAAAGATTCAAATAAAATGGATAATTTTCCACCAAAAATGGTCTACTCCAATAGCTATTGAAATTTTTGAATTGGTAATCAAAATTCTCTCACCCTGAAAGATATCTGTCCCAGATGGTTTTAGAAACTTGTTTTCTTAAACTTTTAAAGTACAAATAAACACTCTCTTAAACAAATGTTTTCAGTTCCTGTGGGAGTTGTCCTTCCAAATCCTTCTGGTAAGATTTCTCTGTAAGGAGCAGGAAGCCCAACTACAGCCTACATTTTCCAGTCTCCTTTGCAACAAGGTGTGTCTGTACAGCTAGATTGTGGAGGGTGGGGTAGCCAGGGATCAAACCCAGGGCCCTGAGCATGCTGGGCAATGCCCT